GTTTTGAAAGTGAAGTTAGCACAATTAGCATTAGATAATTTCTATTTTAAAAAAACATAAATTTATATGCGTTTTAATTTAACTTAAAAAGCCTCGAGTGTAGAGTGTGTAGATCTTGTAGAAATGATTTTGTTAAAATCTCCATACGTAAACTCATAAGTGTGAGTGTGACATTTGACAGATAGATACGAGGGTCACTATTTAAGTTTTTTCAAAAACATATATAAGACAATGGGGTTTCATCGAAAATGGTTTTATTGTTTTTCAAAATATTCGCCATGATGATCAATACACTTTTGCATTCGCTCGAACCATTTGTCATAGCATTCATGCCACTCCGAAAGTGATATCTCCAAAACGTGTGTTTTGAACGCATCAACTGCTTCTTCGGGCGATGAAAATCGTTGACCACGCAGTTTATTCTTCACGCTCGGGAATAAAAAGAAATCGTTTGGTGCCAAATCAGGACTGTACGGCGGATGACCCATTAAATCGATCTTTTGACCGGTCAAATAATCGACTGTTTGATGAGATGTGTGAGAGCTCGCATTATCATGATGAAGAATTACTTTGCGACGGCGGTTGTTTTTTCTTATTTCACCAAACACTTCGGGCAAACAAATGGTGGTGTACCAATCAGAATTAACGGTCTTACGAGCCTCTAGTGGAACTGTTGCCACATGACCACTTATCGCGAAAAAACAGGCGACCATTTGCTTCGCAACACTTCGAGCTCGAACAACTTTTGTTGGGTTATCTTCACTTTGAAAAACCCATACAGTCGACTGCTGTTTAGTTTCGGGCTCATACGCGTAGATCCATGATAAAATACACGGATTTTGAAACACCACGATTGAATTTCTTGAGCATTTGTTTACACCAATCGACACGAGCCTTTTTTTGAGCGATTGTCAAATTATGTGGTATCCAACGAGAGCAAATCTTTCTGACAGCTAAATGTTCATGTAAAATCTTAAATACGCTGGTCGCACTAATTCCCAGGGATGCCTCAATCTCGTGATATGTTACATGACGATCTTCCATTATCATATTTCTGACAGCATCGATGTTTTCTGGTACAACAACTGATTTTGGACGACCTTCGCGGAACTCGTCGATGAGCGATAGGCGACCGCGCTTGAATTCGTTGTACCAATTATAAATTGTCCGAAGACTTGGTACTTCATCGCCAAAGGCCAAATGAAGTTGATCAAAACACTGTTGTTGTGATACACACAATCGAAAGTGGAAAAAAATAATCGCTCGAAAATTTTCACGAGTAAAATTCATTTTTTGGCTGAGACGCAATTTACATGTTACGGTAAACAATACAAATAACGATCGAATGACAAAACGTTCTGAGAACGTTTATGCTACAAAATGTTAAACTTAACGAATATGACAATGGTTTGCATCGGGCAATACTAAAACATACATATTGGAGAAACTTAAATAGTCGCCTACGTACAAAACGTAATGTTATTGTTCTCTTACATACTTGTCATACACTCGTGCGAATTATTCTGTTCTGTTAAGTTCGTTTATTCCGTTCATTTATTTTATTTATATTCTTAATCTCGCAATCACATCGCAAAATTGCGTAAAAATGGCAGATTCTATTAACAGTTTTATTGATCTTGACACCGGCTGTATAAAATATCCTGATGGAGACTTTACTTTTATATTAAACTTTATTCTGTTTAGTTCGCCAAAAGATAGAGTGAGGGCGTTATTGTGACAGATTTCATATAAAAAAGCTACTGTATTAGAGATCTTGAAAGAACAATGCCAAAAAGTGAGCCAGCTGTCATTGCTTGCAAATTTGTCAAACCCTGCGGCTATCATAACAAAACAACGTACGTTTAATTCACGATAGAAGGATTCACCCGAAAAATCAAATGATATGCATGTGATGCAAATGTGCCGTTTGAGAGTTAAACGCACTCTGCTTAGTTATGACAAATGTAGGGTTAGACAAAATTTCAGTCAAAAACTGCTGGCTCACTCGTTATATGAAAAATCGACATGGTTCTTTCTGCAACGTTTTGAATATACAAAAGTATATTGAGTTTATATTCACAGTACACAGAAAATATATCTACCAACTATTTTCGTCACAAAATTGATATCAGAAATTTTGTGTTTCACATTTTGGTTTCGTCACTCGTTCTTCACCTCGATAGAGGTTTTTTATTTGATATTTTGAAACACACTTTGTAAGTCATTTTCATCGTATGTTTGCAAATTCGATCTAGCTCACATTGACGGTTGCAAGGATTCTTCAAATCATTTATGTCCACTAGCGTGGACATGGATTGTGTACTTTTTCTGTTACATTAACGTATGGTGGCTGACAAAAATATCTTGTCACAAACACATTTAAAATTTTGGTTATAAAATGCCTTTCCATTAATTGTATGCGTGTTTAGTAAACCATAATGAGCTGCTATTTTGTAATTCACACTTACACGCGCTCGCTTACGAGAACAATGCGAAAGGAAGTGCTAGAATAAATGACGCGTTATAATCAATGTATTGATCTATATATTTGATGCTTTCCGATCTGCGTTGTGTCTATGCATTGTGCATATCATTTGAAAGAATGTGATGGATTATGATATGCGTCACAGATACTGTACGTAGGGAAAACCAATCAGCTCACTCGTTTCGATTTACATACACAGCTGACTGCAGTCAGAATTCGTTTACTAAAATTAATTTATTAATGCGCAATAAAAATCAAAGCGAAAGCCAATACACACTTATCATTCTAGAATGCACAGTTTATTGCATACACTTTCTTTTTCACTGATCGGAATGATTCTTACATGAAATGTGAAATAAATGTATATGGTTTTTTGCACCGCTATGTTTGTTGATCCTTTGCCTAACTATTATAATAATGCGTATTTTGATTCATTGTTTATTCGAGACGCAATAACAATGGATGTGAAACGTCAACTCATCTTAAATTTGGACAAACGCGGTTATCGAATCATTGATATTTTCCGACAGCTACAAAACGAACAGGTCCGCATGACATTTATTGAACGTACTATCAAACGATACAAGGAGCGTGGAACTGTCTACATACAAAAGAAACCCGGGAGAAAAAGATCCGTTCGTACAAAAGCACTCATCAAACAAGTCAAAGCCAAAATTCGCCGAAATCGCCAAAGAAGTGCCAGAAAGCTGGCTCAAGAGCACAATATTAGCCGGTCTTCGATGCGACGTGTTTTAAAAGAAGACTTAAACACGACACCTTTCAAAAAAAGCCGTCGACATGGTCTTACGATCAAAAATATGCAAGCCAGAAAACAAAAATGCAAAGAACTGTTGCGCCGGCACTCCAATTCAAAAATCGTTTTTTCGGATGAAAAGTTGCTCTTGCTACAGCCAAGTCTCAATGCAAAAAATGATCGTGTGTGCGCAGTGTCTGTAATAGACATTCCTGAATAAGAAAAGACCGTTGAACGTTCTCAGAATGTTCCAAAAGTGATGGTTTGGGGCGCATTTTCGGCCGATCGAAAATTTCCTCTGGTTTTCATAGAAAAAGACGTACAAATCAACGCTAGATTTTATAAACAAGAAATATTGTGCAAAAACTTGTTGCAACAAGCTAAGAGATTGTTTCGAAACGAACCATGGGTGTTTCAGCAGGATGGCGCACCTGCACACCGAGCTAAAACAGTGCAACAGTGGTTACGAACAAATTTGGCCGATTTCATTGACAAAGATTCATGGCCGCCATCGTCTCCCGACTTAAACCCATTGGATTTTTTTGCTTGGGGCTAGGGGAGAGAAACCAATGCTAGTTTTTCTAGTTCAATGCTAATTTACTAGTTTTTACCTAATTTTCTAGTTTATTGCTTGAATAATCTAATAATGCTAATATTCCTTTATGAAATTGCTAGTTTTCTAGTTTTTTGTTCTGTCAAATGACAATCAAATGATTGTACTGACACAATGAAGTATTTTGACGTTTTGTTGTTCAGACATATTTTTATGTGTTTTGAATAATTATACACTTATAATAGTGAAAATAAGTTTAATTATTCTTTTTTAACACAAAATCGTGCATAAAGTACTTGTTTCTTTCAAAAATTGATTAGTCAGCAAATCATGGCACAATATCAAAATGGCGGATCAAATAATTTTTGCTAATTTTTCTAGTTTTTGCTAGTTTTTTTCTAATTTTCCTAGTTTTTACTTGAAATATAAAAAACTAGCTAATGGTTTCCGTCCCCTAGGCTTGGGGCTACATGACATCGAAGCTCAATAGTCTAAAGATTACGAAGGTTACCAATTTGAACACATTCAAAAAGAAAATCGTAAAGATTTGGAACGATATTCCCATGAATGAAATTCGTGCCGCGTGCGACTAATTTTCAACTAAATCTAAAATTTTATGTTAAATCCTACTAGAAAAAAATATATACAGTGAATCTAATTTTTTTGATAGACAAAATAACAAGCAAAGTAAGCAGAGAAACTTTCCACTAACATAGGATTCATATACGAATGGCGTGTGAGTGGAGTGTGTCATGCAAAATTTTGTCTACCAAAAATATTAGATTCACTGTATAATTCATTTTATTCAAAAATGTGTTTTTAGAGCCAAAAATACACCCTTCAGTTATTCTGGCCCACCCTGTAACATGGCGACGTTCAAATAAATTTAAAAATCCCATCACCACTGTCGCCACCATCTAGCCTAGTAGGATTTCATTGCTGTGGGTAAAAATTCTTTAATTTTTTGCTCTTTTTGATATAATCGAAATCAATCAATACGAAATTATGAACTCAGGATAAAAATGTTGCAAAGCAGTTATAAAATAATTATCTAAAAAAATCTTTTGGCAAAAGAATCCCGTGGGTTGATATTGAAATGAGATACTACTGAAAGTTCAATGAAATGGAAACTATCGACGAAAATTTATAGCAGAAGCTAGTTTAGATACGAAAAACAACAATCATATCAAGAGTAAATTTGCTCAATTATGGCTAATTTGATGTAGTAATTAATACCAATTCGCGCTTTTGATAATTTCTTCACATTGAATTACATAAACTCCAATCCAAATGTAATTTATCGAAAATTGAAAAGCATGTTGTTATGTATGTTGAAGCCACTTTCATAGAAAATTAATTTATATTAATTAGTTATCTTGGCACTATGCAGAGAGAGAGAGAGAGAGATAGGGAGAGGAAGATAATATCATATAAATGATTATAGGGTTTCGCCATTTAAACATTCATTTACAGGTGGTGTTGTTTATTTTATATCGATTTTCTGATAGTTTCGTGAAGCAGATCTTTGCAAAATTTACATTTGAAATGATTACGTCAAAAAATACTTTCATACACAACTAATATTTTTGAGATGCAAATTTGCGTAAAATAGAGAAATATTTTGAAATATTGGAATGTTAAGTTTCCGATAATAACAAGCCGATTTATAAAATACGTTTCTAAAGGAAATGAAGGCAGTTTCAGCCATTGTTTTAATCGCTTCAATTGTAAAAGCTTTTGAATTTTGAAATACCTTTCATGAGAACTGAAAAAAATTTATTTGTTTTATTTTATTATATTAATTAATGAAAAGTAATTGTGGTGAAATTCATGGATTTCGTATGTGTACAAACGTAGGCTTCTATGTATTGGATGACATACAAAACTAAAATCTCTGTTGTTTATATGTGCGCGTTTAACTAACTCATATGCATTCATGTTTAAACAGTGTTTGGGCAGTTCAAGTTTCACAATCACAGACTTTTCGTGTGGAAAGTATCAACCATATGTGCTGATAAGTTTAAATTTAGTTCTCTCTAAAACAATGGTTAAGATTATTTTCATTATGAATCGAAGCCTGATCATGCCCGTAGCAAACAACACCTCTAATGCGTATTCCGAGTACTAATTGACGTTTGTGACAATATGGCCGTCACGGTTTGGCAAAATCATAATGAATCGATTAAACTGCGTTAAACTGTTAAAATAAAACAGTAGAAATAAATAGATTTAAATTTTTTACATTTTTGAAAATAAAAAATATTTTGTTTTTTTAATTTTGTGCGATTTTCTGTCCACAATACTCAAAAATATTAAATCAACAAAAATGAATTGGTTGACGTAACCTCACTTTTGTGTCACAATCGTGATAAACCGATTAAATAATTATTAATTATTATTAAAATATTATTCTATCAGTACAAAAGAATGATTCTATCAGTACAATGTGTAATTTTGGGCTACGTGAATTTCATTTCCGAGCAGTTTGATGTGAACATTTTCCACTATGTCAAAGATAGTTTCCTACCTTGATTTTTCCAAGTAAAAGATTCCACAGACATCGATTACAAGCAGATGTCAAAAATTGCAAATGCAATCAGCAATTTTCGCACATATCTTTAATATTGTGAATGGTTAAAATGTCGAAAGACGATCGAAATGCAGACGGGATTTACAGCAGCAAGGAGTGAAACGTCTTTCATTTTATAATCGTTCTTAAACATTGAACATTTTATTCACTTTCTTCACATTCTTAGTCTTTTCTCCTCTAATAAACCAACAATGGCACATTTATAATGTATTTTCAAAGCAATATAAAAATTCCATGCATGCCTGTCTGCTGAATCGGAGAAGCAATCCGATGGTATTCTATCTTAACGTTCACACGGTCATATTTGCTGCTATTTCTTCTTGCTCGAATGCTTGATATCAAATGTTACTGCACATTGAATGAAAATTGAACATATCGATTACATCGACTTCTTCCTGCCTTCGATAAACAAAAGCTTGAAGTCGACGCCATCTTAATGTTGTATTTGCAAAATAATTTGAAAATGGAGAACGAGAAAGAAAAAAATGTTGATTTGAACTTTATCGAACTCATTGAATAGTTGAGTAATACCTGCACAATATTCATTTTTTATTAATACACATCGCTGAATTCGATTGGATACGTCGAAAGAAATATGTGTAGAAAGGAAATTGCGAACTCTCGCGAAAAACTGATTCAAACTATAGATACTTAATTTCATCGATCTACGATCGAAGAAAGTACCAAAACTCTATTGGAAGTAAACAATGAGAAAATGCTACTTGTTATTGGGATGAAAAATATTTATTCTAACTCAGTTTTTCAAGCAAGTGTCTATGTGTGTGACTTTATTTAAGAACGAAACACAATCAAAAAAAAAAAAAAATCAACAATGAGTTCATATAATTTTATTGGTGACCTTTTCTTTGGAGCTATAGAAGCGCACGTGTAAGCTAAAATATGAGGATATGATGTGTGAAAAACTTACTTTACTTTGCAAATTGCGGCGTTTTTTGGTTTTTCTTTTCTAACTTGAAATAATACAATATGCTAAAGTAATAGAGGACCACTCACAGAAAAAATCGGATATTTTGAGCACAGAAATCGGTTTAAATCACAGTGAAATGATTTTTGGGTTTTAATTAATTAAAAATCGGATGAAACTTGGAATGTGAGAATTTTAGTGGGACTTGAATCTGTATTTCCAGTCTGTATTCGCGCGATGATGCTATGTGTATTACAGCTGAGTAAAATTGCCATGTAAAATTTGATTTTAAGTTTAATTCGATTTTTCGGTTAATTTAAAGCCAAAAATCATTCCGCTGTGATTTCTAGTGTGATTTTAACCGATTTCTGGGTTCAAAATATCGGACTTTTTTCTGTAAGCATCTGAGTCTTTAAACCAAAGGAACTCGTTACAAGGAGCACAAAAGGAGAAACCAGTAAAAAAAAGTGGAATGATTGCTTTAAACAACAATAACACTAATAATAATAACATGTGTGTATATTGCATCCCTACAGCGCATTGCATGCGTATCATAAAAATGTCAAAAACCTTTTAGCCGTTTTAGAGCTTAGAGTCGCTCAGCTCTAAACATAATACACACACACACACACACACTCTCTCTCACACACACACACACACACACTCAGAGAGAGAGAGAGAGAGAGAGAGAGAGAGAGAGAGCAATTCACCATTATTTGTCATAATCATACAATATTTGGGATTTCACACACATATTCAGATCATATGCAATGCAAACGCGCACGTTTACTCTTTTGATAGCAACCGATGTGCAATACTATAAACTTTTCACATCGATGTACATGTGATGTTTGTCGTAGACGAACCGATTGTATATAACAAAAACTATTATACAAAAAGTGTGCAGAAAAATATATTGCAAACAAAGAAAAATAATAATAAAGAATGTGCGCAAAAAAAAACAGAGGAAAGAGTCAAATAGTCCGATTGGGGTGTTGAAGAGACAGACGAACGAGTGTTTGTGAAATGAAAAAACACACATTTAAACTTTGGCTCGGCTTTAAGATATGGAAAAGTGAAACGCATTAAGCAGAGAGACTGGGAGAATACGTTTTTTGTGTCTTAATCAAAAATCAGTTCAACTACTTGTTC